ACCTATTTTTACAACCATAAGAGATGAATTACAAAAATATTATAATACGTTTTTATTTAATTGAATTGAAGATCATTAATACCAAGTTTCAAAGAAACTTTCATCCATTATTCTACCCCCTTAAAGAATGAATTTCATAAAAAAGTGATACTGTAAACTTTTTTCTCTAACTGTTCATATATCAATTTTTTTATATTTCTCATTTGATTTCGTTGATTTTCATTTGATCGATGTATATCGTCAAAAATGACGAATTTTCATTTAAACTTTTATCCCCTCCTTTAATCACTTAGGGGATGAACTTCCAAAGATATTTTTTAGTGTACACTTACACCATTTAAGGAACATTTGTGCAAAATTTCATACTTCTAGACCCAGCGGTTTCACCTGTTTGTTGATTGATCAGTTAGTGTATCGGTCAGCCAGTCAGTTTCTTACTTTATATACATATATAGATTGGGGTCTCCAAACCGTACTGCAGTATTCAAGTAGACTCCGGACGTAACTATTTAATAATCTGATTTTTGTTGATGATATTAAATAAATGACATTAAAATGTTAACTCGGAGTCGAAAATTACAGCCAAAGTCGTAAAACAATTACGTATATGTAAACTATTGCCACTTGCGTTGACAATATTTCTTATAAATGTGATTTGATAGCACTTATTTGGATTTAATATTATTTGTTTCGTTCGTTCGTTTGTTTTTTATCAAAATATGACCCACTAATGTATTTATTCTATAACCTTGTTTAGTTTTAAATCATTAACATATAAATATAGTGTACAATATTTTAATTGGTGTGGCCAGTCATTTACGTAAATATTAAATAAAAAAGTAAGTTCAGATACCGTACCTTGGGGAACCCCGTAATGTTGAATAAAGGTGACTCGGAACCAGCTAGGGCTATGATATATTTATATTTTGTAACCATTTCCTAAGGCTTCCCGTGAACCCATTATTTATTTATTTTTATTTTTTTGAGTTTTGATTTATTTATCTGACGTAAAAATTAGACATAAAGGTAAATAATGTCTGATATATTCTGGTATTGTTTTTGGATTGTATTATATGTTATTAAATATTATCTGTTTTCACTTACTCCTTGTTAGTATTTCTTAAAATGTTAAACCAACACAAGTAACTGTTGAAATTATTATTCATTTTATGAATTTGTCTGTTTAAAAATAATATTGATAGATGTGTATGTTGAAATAAAACTGTAGAAAGTATTTCAAACTAAGTCGAGTTGAACCGATAAATATCTACCGATATATCTTGATATCGATACACGTCATGATTTATTTGTCAGTTAGGTACATGAATGCTTGGAAGAAATCCATTAGTATCTATAGAAAGCAAAATAAAATAATTTCTTCTCATAAACTTTTACGCACACTTTTGAATCGTCAATGAACGACTTTTTAATGTTATTTTTATTAATGCTAAAATCAATCTGTACAGTTTCTAAGCAATAGTTAATTGTACATTATTCTTAGGTTATATGCAACGTTTACAGCTTTCAAAGTATACCTATACATACCTCAGAAAATGATGTTCTCCTGACCGATTCCGGCCACGGCGGCCAGTCTCATTGAGACTAGCCAACTGCGCAGAAGATATTATAGTGCAGCGCGTGTAAGCGCAGACATAAGTGCACTCTCTATTCCTGTCACTCTCATACTCCGGTGGGACGACTACTCGACACGACCGGTGAGAGTTAAGGCGCAGGACCGATGGCTTTACGTGCTCTCCGTGGCACGGGGGTGAATGACCGCTAACTTCCCAACACCGGGCTGTTACTGAGGCTTACTATACAATAAAGACTCAATAACTAAACTTGGCCTGACCCGGGACTCGAACCCAGGACCTCCGGATGTGCAGTCGTACATGCTAGCCACTACACCACCGAGGCAGTAGATACCTCAGAAAATATTGCCTTAAACAAAATATCTCTTAGAAACATCTGCCTGCCTGACGACTAAGGAATTATCAGCTAGTGATTTACGTGAGACGCCTATCTATAATTTTGATGAAAGGATAAACGGACATAACTAAATTATAAGAGTTCCGTTTAATGTCATTTGACTACGATTGCCTATTTTGGAAAAAAATCAGAAAAAATCATGATGAATGAGAGGTGGTGCTAACAAGTTTGAGCATGTTTTAAAATGTAAAGTGATGGTTAAATATTCTTACATTTTGAATCTAGCTCAAACTTGTTTTACCACATCGCTACTTCAACTTAGGAAGATATAAGAAGTACAAGAAGAATAAGAAGAAGAAGAAGACGTATAAGAAGATATTGGAAGACATAACAATATTTTACTGGCGGTGAAAACGAGACAAGTATCTTCTAAAAATGAATAGGTGTAGAACCAACAATTCTTGAAGGCCGGTTATTATACACATATACATAGGCACAGGTAGGTAGATACATACATATGTATATACCTACATAGGACATAACTATAAATGCTATTGCAATGTATCTGTTTTTGCCTTTTGGCTACGGAACCCTAAAATAAGTACTTATTTTAATAATCATTATTAGAGTTATTCTATCTATATATACATAAAATGCTTTGTCCTGGATGACTGATCGATCAACGCACAGCCTAAACCGCTTGTCGTAAAAACGCGAAATTTGGAGGACATATTCCTTCTATAATTTAGGCATCTATTAAGAAAGAATTTTTCAAAATTTATCCCCTAAGGGGGATAAATAGGGGATAAAAGATTGTATAAAACTCTGTTATTCTTAACATAAAATAGACAGAAAGTGGCACATAGCTTTAAGATGAAAAATAACAAATATATGTGTTAGATTTTTTTTTAAATTCATCCCTTTAAAGGAGAAAACGAGGTAATAAGGTTAATATGGGCAAATAATTTTTTATGATCGGAATTACTTAAAACTTGGTAGAAACGCTCTTCAATACAATTGAATAAATACGTATTTTAGCATTTTTTGAATTTCATCCCATTATACTGTCAAATAGGGGATGAAAGTTCGTATGAAACTCTGTAATTGATGCACGGAAAAGTTTGTATTAGGAAGCAATTATATAATTAGGTGAGATTGTAAGTAATTATGGTTTAAATAATTTGATCAAATTAAGTAGGACCGTATAACAACCCGTATATAATATAATATAAGTGGCTAAGTCCAACAATCGTGATACGATTATAGATATAAATTTAAAAGCTTATTATGCTTAGTCATAAATAATAAAGCTTCTAAAAATATAAACTATATTTTTTGGCTATTAGAGATGTAGAGACTGCGACCGCCCGGAGCGATCAAAACAGAGGGGCGGCAGACGTAGCGTTCGCTTTACCTAAGTCTATAGATAAAACCGCCAAGTTGTGTAATTGGAAAATTACTGTCTACTTCTTTGATTTATTACTTCATTCTATAAACATTTTACATAATATAGTTTATAAGTTGTTGTATGTTTCACTTGTGAAAGCTTCTACTATATAATAAGAATAACCTAAAATATATAGCGCGGGAGTTATATCCGGTAGTAAGATTTATTATTGTGTCACTTAACAAGTCCTAGACAAAGCCAGGCGAGCTGCCCAGAGGTAGTTTGAGCTAATAAATAAAGTACGATTATAAACTAAAATTGTTAGCGCTTTATTACTGGTTAGTGATAGTAGATTTTCGGTTCAAGTAACTTGTTCCATTTCTAGATATGAAGCCAAGATGAGAAGGCACATCAAAATATCACAGGCAATATATTAAAGTCAGCATGAATTCGACACAAATGAGCATCGACAGGTTGGCATATGCAATCATCCGTCCTGGAAACATGCCAACTACAACGAGTTAAATTTTTAAGCATTCATTGAAAATTGAGCGTATAACATTTAACACTAATTAGAATAAAAGATAGTTGTAGTCGCTGAAAAAAACAGCTCATTAACAGACGTTAAAAAATACTGATATAAATCATGTTAAGGCCAAAAGACCTTGACGTTTTTTTCAACTGTGCATATGAACACTCGACACATTACCGTACCTGCCGTGCTTGAACAGTCTGATATAAAGAAAATTGATGCTATCGATTATTATACTTTTTATTATTATGTGCGAAAATGTAAAGCCAGTCGATATCTAAGTATTAATAGAGATAATAGATTTTGTTACGTTATGTTAAATTAAACAAAAGAAAACTAAGCGCGATAACTTTTCGATAATTTTACAAATTGTAAAGCATTTATATTATTGTAAAATATTCAGAATATATTTAGTCTTATAAATCAGAATATATTTAATCTTATAAATAATAAATTTAATCTACAAGTAAAAAGTATAATTTATTAGTGACTCCTCGTTAACTCAGCTTTTGAGCTTTTGCTCTTGTTAAAAGTACTGGAAAGCTGGAAGAGAGTGACAGACTTTTATTGTACCAAGTTATTATATATAGCAGATAGGTCAGAGTGAATGCTGAATTATTTGTTCACTTTATGGCTAAGTAATATGATTCTCTGCTGGGAGTAATTAACAAGATATAGTCAAGCTTAATAGCACATTAGCTAAAAGCTTTTGCCCCACAAGCAGGTAAATGGTTCAAGGTCACAAAGAAGGGTTACGAATTCAATAATCTTATCACATTTTCATTATTATTTTAATTTTTTAATCTATTTGAATTCTTTTTTATATAGGTTAATATTATAATATTTATTAAATATTTATGATAAATATACAGAAATAACTTTTTTTACTCATTTTCGAACTTTTAAAATATTTTTTTATACCAAGTGTCAAAGTTTGTATAAGTGACAATAATTTTTGCATATCGAATTTAAAAGTAGCCCGCTAACGCTAAATCAGGTAGCTGAAATATTTAAAGTTAATTTGTATATTATATAGCTTACACCAAAAAAGAATGATTAAAACTCGCCTTAATTGGCCATGTATAAAACGATTCAGTCCAAATAAAGCCCCACGTTGTAAAGGAGTCAAAGACGAAGCAATACGACGATTAGATGCAAGTCGCCCTTGTCACAGGTACAGTTGGGTACGGTGCAAGTGTTACTGGTGTTATCAGGACGGGCGCGAGAGGCGGGCGTAGGGCGGGCGGGGGACAGGGCTCCATACGAGGCAAGCAAAGCCTCCGCGACATTCGCGCGTCTGCCACCGTCGCGCATCCACGCCCGCGCTCGGTACGCCCATGTTACGTAACGCTATTTACTCCGACATCTGTTGAGTGCGACGGCCACTGCTCGCGCGGCACGCTTGCTCCACCGCTGACCATACGCGCGCACGTCATGTCTCTCACCGTGAACACCCCAAACCGACGCGACGCCGGTGCGACATTCGACCATCCGACCGGCGACACTTAATAAAATGTAGACACGTGATCATCAACTTTACTGCCATTCATCCTGCCAGATAATTTTAAGTAATAGGTTTAAGTAGTGCTTTCGCTTAGATGGACTTTGTGATGTAAAGAGAGTAAGACTGATGGGGAGACCCGCACCCAACGTCGAGCTTCGAGCGATTAAACCTCGGAGGTCGCAATTGCTGTTTTGAAATCAGCGCCATTGCTAAAACAAGCTTTCACTGCCGCCTCAGCCTTCCACTACTAGCGTGTTAAGTTAGTCGTAAGAAGCCACGGGGCTTGAAAGTAATTTGTTCAGCAGCAGGGAGAGTCTACACCCTGCCGTCCGCGAGTTTAGAGGTCGACGACGCGTCGGTCTTCTCCAAAATTCGTGACAACATAAGCTCGTGGGTGCTGTGGTGGCGTCAACGCCATCTTCGGATGGGCGCACCGCAGACCCCAAAACAAATAGAGGAGGATGACTGCGTGCCTCGCGTGGCCGTAGTTGAGGAGATACGTCAGCAGCCAGAGCGCAAGCTGGAGCGACGTCGGGCAGCGGGCAGTGGCCCGCGGCGGCGTGGCCTTGAAAATGAGTTGGAGGGCGAGCGTCGCCGGCCGAGGCGCAAGCCAAGGAAGAGGTTTGTTTCATGTTTACACTATTTCGACCAATCAAAAAGGAGCACTAGTAACGTACTAAAAAAAAGGTGGTTATAAGTTGTGCGAAGGAACAAAGCATTATTTTTATTGTAAAATAAATATTGCAGACTATTAATACTATAATAGTATTATAGTTCATTTATTTAGCATTTTAATAAATGTTCATAAGTATACAAGTTAGTCGTCCAAGCTTTAAAAACTTTCTCTGTCATACGGTTTACGATAAATTTGGCACGGAACTTTAGTTTCGAACACGTGGGATTAACACGTAGTTTACACAGCAATCCGTCAAAATCAGGTCTGTTATTATAATCATATATATATCTAACGAACTTTGCCACAACTTTTAAACTTATATACCTAAGGTTGTTTAATGGTAATTTTTTTGTAGACATTTTATACAACTTTTAATTATCATGATTTTTTTATGTTTTTATAACCGTAGGATTCTATAGCAGTTTTAATACTTGAATAAAATAAATCAGCATTTCTAATAGCGCCAGAAATTTTATGTCGAACTGCGTGATCTAAATAAAATATGCGGCTTCAAGCTGCGTGTGAATAGGAGGCCTAATTCGGCGACCGATTTAGTCCTGCGGCTGTTTTGACATTGAACATTGCTCGACCTAAAAATGAGGCAGTAAAGCTTCACCTTGGACTTGCGAAACAGAAGGACTGCCGCGTCGACCGTCCGGCTATCGATTTGGGGTACCAAAGCACGACCTCAGAGTAAAGTTTTTAACAAGTTTAATACAATTATATTCGCTATACACTCTACATTATTCATCGATCTCCGTACTTTATACATTTTGGTTACGCTAAGTTTTACTTTGCTAGTATTGATTCGAAATTCGCTCGACTCCGGGTTTCGAAAGTTATTGCATGTAATACGCAATCGTTTTCAAAGAACGTTTTAGTCGCTTCCTAGAAAAACTGACGAAGGGTGTTTGATATGAAAGGCTTAGATTTGTATTAGAATTAGTTATAATTTTTTTAACACCAGTATTCATATTAGGTATATTTTGGCAAAAAAAGCTGAATCTGTATTGAACAGTTGCTGCAGGTGGCAAACACCGACAGTGTCTTCGGCCTTATTGCCAAGGAATATAAAACGGGTCAAGTGCATCGAACTCGAGTGAGGGTAACATCTGTATTACAATGTTTGGACCAAATGTGTGGGAGATTTTGCTAAGCCATCTTATCCTAATATACTTTATGATGCATCGATACGTACGAGTTGCCACACTGCGACAATATTTTGTTAAATTTCATATAATAAAGTAAAAGTTTTTTAAGACTTTATTTCTTTAATTCTTTGTTTTTATTATTTATATTTTAATTATTATATATTATTATTTATATTCACAATTTAATTACCAAAAAAAATGTCCATGTAAAAAGCAATAAACTAGAAAACCAATTACACAATTGTTGCGTCAAATTGCTATCTATCTTGACTTCAAAAATTCGGATATTTTATCAAAGTTTCGATTTCAAAGTTTATTTCATCAGCCGTATTTGACATATCCCGATGCACATTACGTTGCATGTTGATGCGATACTGTATTAGCATGCTTAACTTTTATAGCTACCATTATGCAACAAAATATAGAACAGGTTTTAAATGAAACGAACATATAATGATAGCTGTAAACTATTTCCATATATTGTAATACATGTACTCGTGTATTGTACAATGTACATGTTACTTTCGATTGGTTTCTGCCTCTGTGGTCTACTGGCTATCATGTTGGTGCACTTGTGTCTGCGCCTACACTTGTGCACTATAATAACTCTTGCGCAGTTGGCTAGTCTTAGTGAGATCGGCCGCTGTGGCCGAAATCGAAATATATATATATATATATATATATATATATATATATATATATATATATAATATGTACAATGTACATATATTTGTAAATACGTTTTTAAAAACGACTAACGATTTCGATGAAATTTGCCATATAAGGGTTTACGGCTTAAAATTGATCTAGCTAGGTCTCATATCTGGAAAAAATCGTTTTCTCCATATTTTCACGCAAAAAGATTTGCCCGCGTAATATGGTTCGTAATTTTGCCGCCGCCGCCACTGTAATAGCCTAATGGTTAAAGCGATGACCTACTACACCGAAGGTCAGAAGTTTTTGTTTTTATCTTATAAATATTATATATTTTTCGTGTATCTTTGAAAACTCTAAACGATTTGGATTAAATTTTGTATTTAGATATTGTTTTGCTTTTTAAGTTTCTCTATAAACTCTCTCCAAAAAGCGACAAACGAAGCTCCGTCACCCGGTACTAACTTATTATAACGGAGCTTTCACGAGCGAGCCACGAGCATAGGATAATTTACGTTACAGTTCATATTATTTATGGTAGCCATCGATTCAATGATTTTTCTAAGGTGAATATGGTGGTGTAGTAAGACTGAAGTAATTAGTGCACTACTAAGCTATTGGTCGCGGTATTCAATCCCCGCTTATAGCAAAACAAATATTTATTAGGATTAAGTAAAGCATCGTGCACATTCACAAAAGACTTTACGTTGCCATTGTGCAAAATCAGAAATTCTCTATTTACTCCGCAACGATTCTATGATGGATAAATAGATATACACTACCACTATCTACACTCAAGGGTTTATATCTGAAAATAAAATAATAATATGTATTTAAATATTTTCAAATAACTCTGTGTTTAACCTACAAAGAACAAGCTATAGTTGCTTCATAAATATAAATTAAATTAACTCGTTTAGCATTAAAATAGGCAAATTGCACTACGCGACTCGTATAGTTTCACTGAAGACCCTGCTCTCTCCAATCTCATGCAGTAACTCGTAGTTTAAACTTGTTATTTACATTTTAATTTCATATAGCTTATAATATAAAATTAAATTAATAATAATATTACATTTCGTTATAAGATATAGTATACTTTACTTAAATAGATTAAGTAGTTTACTTAAATTTAGAAACTCAGTCAAAATAACTGTTTTAACAAATATTTTATCACTAAACATATGTGAAACAAATAATTATGTTAAGTAGTTTTCTCAATATATCAGCTTCAATGTTCACAATGAAACATTCTCCCGCACGTGATATAAGCTAGATGCATCTTTTATTATAAGGGTCAAAGTAATTCAAAGAAAGCCTAAGGATAAAATAATAAATAGAAACGGTCTCGTAGATGGTAGTCAGAGCGGCTTCGTCAGTATAGTAACTGCGAGGTCGGTCTTATCAATTCTTTAAGAAGCATTATTAGAGAATTTGACTCTATTAAAAAGGTTTACATTGAGAAGTGGACATCCGTAAGATAAAAGAGCAGCCCTCGTTTTGTTTACTGTTTTACTTTGACATACGCTAATTTAATCGTTCTTTGCACAAAATCGACGACAACAACACGTTTGGCTCAATTTTTAGTGACCCTACTTGCTGTGCCAGCGGTCGCGGGTTTGAATCCCGCTGGGGGCATTCATTTGTGTGTTGAGCACGAATATTTGTACTCCAGTCATGGGTGTTTATACTTATAATATGTATATATTTAAAGATATACATGCGTAGTGGATCAACTATCTGGTATCCATAACACAAGCCTCGTAGCTTACCATGGAACTAGATGGTGCTGTCCCAAAATAAAAAAAATTAAAGTCGCGGCCTTCGGCTTAGTAGCCTATGGTGCACTAAATACCCGAGGGTCAATTCAAATATAAATTCATATATGTCACGGTATTGTGTATTTATGCAAACGCGATTACTGTGCGGATACAAAATATAATAGCATATGAAGCACTTGAAGTGCCTGCGCTAGGCTTTGTCATGCTAAGTTTGATTGTACAACGTCGAATGTGCAATCGGTGATTTTTATAGAGGCTACTTTTTTGTCACCCTTAAAATTAAATGTACAGTAGACAGAAAATATTTTCTAACGTAGCAATTGAATAAAAGTACGGTAGAATATTAATTTACCTCGTAAATTCTCAGCAATTAACTCAAGCTATTTGCGTTAGTGAAAATATACTCTATAAAATTCTACTTTGCAGAGTATTTCTACAAATCATTAAATGTATAAGGCACAAGGTTAGTAGATTAAAAGATTTAAGATTATGATTTTGTATAAGCGTTTTCATTTCAGTTGCTGGCATTTCATCGACCACTATAAAGGAAAACTTTAACAAGTCTATGGTTACCAGTTTGCGACTCACCAAGTTTATATAAATTTCCGAAATAATTGGAGTTTTGCAGTTCAATCGTCTTAAAAATCATACAGTACATATTGTCCATTGTTTAACTACAGAAGATAGTATAGCTTCGAAGTAAAACTGCAATATTTTATCAAGGATAAGCACGATACATGGAGATTTGTTCGATTTAGTACAATACATATTTGAACCACAAATGAAAATATCTATACCAATATTATAAATGGGAAAGTTTGTGAGTATGGATGTTTGTTACTCTTTCACGCCAGAACGGCTAAACGGATCTGGATGAAATTTGGCACAGAGATAGATTATGGTCTGAAATAACACATAGGCTACTTTTTATCCTGGAAAAATGTACGGTTCCCGTTTCTTTTTGTTTTTCTGGAGGCGAACCCGAGCGAAGTGAGGGTAAGCCGCTGGTAGATTATATTTTAATACTTGTCTACAATCTTTTAGTTATATAAAACATATATGAGTTTGATTTTGAACTTGGGACGGTAAAAGTAAATTGATTAAAATTCTTAGTGCCGAGTAAAGTGTCAGATTCATATCGTTAGAGATTATTCAAGATAAATTTAAGAATAGCTTTTCCAAAATGGAGAACGTTAATTGAATTTTTAGCTTAGTACTAATAAGTCGTCTTAATAAAATAAAATAAAATTACTTGTTTTCATCTTTTTAGTTAGTTTTAATGCAGTTGTGTTTTTTATTTTTATAATATATGCATTTTTTATTTACAGCTTTTTAGTTTTTGGTAATTAGAAATTAGAATTTATATTTAG